AACCTAGGCCTTGTTGCTTAGACAGAGTAACACTGAGCAAAATGTACTGGAGCTGTGTCTGTTTCTACCTCAACAAATGGTTGTCAACCCAGGCAGAGCCACACGGGGCAGAAGTCCTGCTTTCACTTCCCTCAGGCTGCACGCCCTGTGCCCCCAGAAGAATTCAACAGCAGAAGTGGCAGATGAGAGTTGTGTTCATCTGGGGAGTGGAGGAAATGGGTGCCAGCAGACCGAAGCGTTGGAAGTCCAGGTTGCTAAGAGCATCTTGTGCTTTCTGGACCAGTAAGCTCATTATCACTCTCAGGAAAAGTCTGAACTCAATTATTCAGCAAGGAGCTTTGAGTGCTCCTGGGGAAACAACCCCAAGAGACGCAGTCAGGCCCGGTGCTTACCTGTCTGGTAAGACAGAAGACGTGTCGTGACCTTGCCTGGGCAGCATTCAGCCAGACATCTTGAATATGCTCTGACATCATTACAGGCAAGACGGAAGTGTCCAGAGAGCATACAGGAGGGTAATGGGAAAGGTGGATTTATTTTTAATCGGTTGGGTGAATATACTCAAAAAGCAATGTTGCCCATCTCTCTGCCCAGCCCAGGACTTTTCTCTCAACCACTGGATTAAGAATGTCGATGGCAAATCAATCGGTTATGTCAGGGATGTGACGTCAGGAAGGAATGCCAAGATGGTGGATGCCAGAGTCAACTTCAGAATCATCCCAACTGCCTGAAACTCTTGCCAGATAATGTAGAGTTCTGCCCTTAGCTTCAAATAACCCACCGCACACACTGGAGAGAGAAAACCTGAGTAAGATCCCGTTGACAGAGGGAGTGCTGTATGAGTCGGTAGTGTGATGAGGTTACAAGGAAAGACAATTTGATGACAGTTTTAATAGAAATAAACCGTCCCAGACAGGAGTGATCACAGAGCCTCAGATCTGCACTGGTTAGACCACATACTGTATTTATTCCCACACATGCCACTTCACTTCCGGACATGACACTCTAGCTTTGACGAGCTCCAGTAAATTCCAGAGAGGGTGGTTTGAACGGATGGAGGATTTCAGAACCTTGTCAAGAACGTAGTTGAAAGTTAGGGCCACGTATCCAAGAAAAAGAGGCTGTTGATAGAATTCAAGAACAGCCTCCGGGGTGCGAAAGGCTGCCAGGGAAAGATGGATTAAACTACTGGGCTGCACAAAAGCTGGTGGTTTGAGAATTGCAAAGGCGGATTGCAAGATGACCTGGCCACCATCTCCCGGAGTGGAGCAAAAGCCTTGATTTTCTTTGCCTTTAACCCAGCGTTCCCAGAGCACCAATGGTTGACCAGGACCTGAAACATTTGCTCCTTGTCTCCCTTTCAGGCCAGTCTCAGACATCCCCTTTCAAGACCTTTGCAGGCCTGGCGGTGGTGGCACACGCCTTTAATCCCAGCACTTGGGAGGCAGAGGCAGGTGGATCTCTGGGAGTTCGAGGCCAGCCTGGTCTACAAGAGCTAGTTCCAGGACAGGCTCCAAAGCTACAGAGAAACCCTGTCTCGAAAAAAAGAAAAGGAAGGAAGGAAGGAAGGAAGGAAGGAAGGAAGGAAGGAAGGAAGGAAGGAAGGAAGGAAGGAAGGAAGGAAAGAAAGTTGCCATTATTTGGGACGGGGAAAAAAATCAAGACCTTTTCAGATCTGGCCAGGGGCAACTGGACTCTGGGCCCACGTTAAGGGCAAACAAATTTCTGTTAGCCATTGCCATTCTTGCAGGAGGAGCTGAGAAGCACCTGCAGTACCCATGTACTGTTAGATACTACCTTAGACTCATCTCACTTAAATATGAGCGCGACCCTGCTACACACCTGGAATCCCACTACATAGGTTGAGTCAAGATGAGAGCAATATGTGTTCAAGATCAGTCTGGGGGTTCAAGAGTGATGTGCTGAAATACCCCAACAGATAAAGACAAATGCCACAAAGTCTGATGGGCCTGAGTTTGATCCCTGGGCTTCTGGAATAGAAGAACCAACCCCTGCGAGTTGTCCTCTGATTTCTATATGCACACACACACTAGATAAATGTGATAAAATTAAAGACCAGCCTGGGCTACATGGCAAGACCTTGTCTCAAAAAAGGAAAGAGAAAGATTGTCATTTGCCAAGGTCACCTGTGATACTTGCTACTCTGCCTCATTGAGCATGCTCCTGGGTCCATGTACCCTAGGCCTCCCAGTGGCTGTGGGTCATGTCTCCCCAGAAACCCCTCTCTCTCCCAGCCCCCACCCCCAAAACTCTGCCTTATCCTCTATGGAAAACTCAGGGAGAAAGCCCAGCTGAAGAATTAGGCCATGCTGCCGAGCACACTACTTATTTTTTTATGACTAAGATTAAGCTGACAACCATGCAAAACATTGCAAACCTGTGTTGGCTGCAGATTTAATACCTCACCCAGCCCACACAAATAATTCATGCTTCTGCATCGATGTCCAGAAAAAAACAAATCAGCAAAAAGCTGGGCTCCTGCGCGTGTGAAGCAGCCGCCTTTCCAACCGAGGCAGTATGCCGGAAATACCCAGGCTCCAGGAATGCAGATCTAGCATTTTGAGATTCTTTTTTTCTTAAAAGATTAAAGTATGTTTTCTCAAATGATTGAAGGTTGGTGGGAGGTGTAAGTGTGGGCACTTGTCACATAATTCTTCAGATGATTAAGTTCTTTGCTGCTTCTTGAAAGCTGTTTGCAGTTGGGTTTGATGTCCCCGTTCTGGGTGAGTGTGTTGTAGCAGTTACCAAGGTGACTTTAGCTGACTTTCAACAATTTATTTTTCCCTCCAGTTTGAGACTCTAGCCCTGTGTGCTGTGTGATTCATCTCTACCAGCCCCCACCCCACCTCCCATGGCTATTCATCAGCATTTTTGCCTGGCCCCCTGAGACCAGGATCCTCTAGAAGGTCCCACCCAGCAGGCCAGGCCTCAATGCCACTGGACAGCATGGCAGCATAAGGGTAGATAGCCTGCTGTCAGATGCTCACGGTGTGATTATAAGGCACACCCTGGCTCTGCTATGTAACTCTGAGGCTTGCTGGGGCTGGTGGTAAAGTGTTTGCCTAGTATGCATGAGCCTCTGAGTTTCAGCCCCAGCACCCCCAAAAGTAAAATTGTGACCTTGAGGTTGTTTTGGCTCACTTTATATGTAAAAGGGCTAAGGGAGCGAGCGTCCATGCTTGTGTGAGGACCCACTGAATGACTGCAACAGAGAGCCTGGCACAGAGGAAACCTTGACAAACATGGCTGCTCTCATGTCCTGTATTCTGCTCTTGCTTGGGCCCCAGGAGCACCCCCATATGACCTTTGAACCCATCAGTAGTGCCTGAATGAGATGTGGGGTTGTCCTCAGAAGGCCGGCATAGAAGGTGGTCAGATGTTCACAGTTCACAAGCTGGCCTGCCACCGACATGCTCTTTGGCCTTGGATATATCCCCTCTTTGAAAAGGAAAGTGGTAAATTGAACAGGTTGAGTTTCTTTCCAAGCTTGGAATACTGTGACCCTCTTGGCCAGTGTTTGTCTTCTTCACAGGTCTGGTGAAAGGGAAAGGTAGTTCCCAGGGCAGCTTTGGGAAGCTGCAGGAGGGGATGCCTTGGTGACAGAGAGGTCACATCTAGGGTTGTATCCACCTGGGGAGAGGAGCAAGCTGAGCCACTGCCTTGCCAGTACTGCTGTGCCCTCTGTGGGGAGGGGCTCTGCCTGTCAGCTGGGCCTCCGTGCTCACCCTGCCTTAGTAAGGTGAGGCCTGCTCCAGGGTGACTGTCCAGCCCAGATGTCCTGAGTAGCTCCTGCCTGCAGCTTGAATGATTTAAAAACAAACAAACAAACAAAAATGATCCTTCCCTAGTTTTCTGATGGACACTTGAAGAATTGTTCTGGGTTTCACAGCCCAAACCAGAACCCCGTCTTTTAAATGCTGTCAGTGGATGACCCTCTTTTCCTGCTGGGGGAGATTTGGGAGGTCAATAAGGACAGCTGAATTTGAAAAGCAAAACTTAGAATGGTGGGGCTGGAGAGATGGCTCAGTGGTTAAGAGCATTGCCTGCTCTTCCAAAGGTCCTGAGTTCAATTCCCAGCAACCACATGGTGGCTCACAACCATCTGTAATGAGGTCTGGTGCCCTCTTCTGGCCTGCAGGCAGACACACAGACAGAACATTGTATACATCATAAATAAATAAATAAACAAACAAACAAATAAATAAATATTTTAAAAAAAAGCAACTTAGAATGGCAAGGGACCCAGTAGCCCAGCTGTGTGACCAATTGTTGGTGAGGAGCTGAGCTTGAAAGAGCAGGAGTGACACTGACCGCGCTTAGTATGGCCAAGGTCACTGTCAGGAGGTATCTAATTTAGGACTTCCATACATGCACACACGACACACAGCACATATCCACACACATGCACACATCACACCACACATGCATCTGACTCGTAAGGGTCCAACATTCACCCCTCAGCAAGGGTTGCACTATCCCCTGCTTAGAGGCTTACATCACTTCCTTGCCTGCCCTATGCAGGGGCATGCTTGCTCAGAACCTGAAGGTCAGCTAGCTCCTAGAGCTGTTGTTCCCTGTCAGCCTTGTAGAGCTCAAGGCAGGAAAAGAAAGGCTTCTCAGAGCGCCTGTTGATTCCACGGGGCAAAACAAGCCACTGTGATGTGAACTTGCATGTGTGTTGGCCAGAGATGTGGGCTCTAGAACCTGACTGACTTCAGGCCAAACACCAGCCCCTCTTCTTCAATGGCTACACAACCTGAACACATAACTTAGCCATTCCAGTTCCAGTGTGCCATTGGGAGGCATGGGCAGCCAGTGAGAAGTGCTTGCCACCTGCTGGTCCTTGGCTAGTGCTTAGTGAAGGGTGTTACCATAGTTAACAGGCACTGTAGTTGCTAACCAGGAACTCAGCCAGAAAATCCCATTTGCTCCTCCCAGTGGTTTTCCCCATGTGCTTAATCTGTCCCTTGCTTGCCTCACAGGAGCCGCAAAGACAGCTTAGAAAGTGACAGCTCCACGGCCGTTATCCCCCACGAGCTGATCCGTACCCGACAACTCGAGAGCGTGCATCTGAAATTTAACCAGGAATCAGGGGCCCTCATTCCTCTCTGCCTAAGGTAAACTGAAGCACTCCATTCCACAATACCCTGTAGGCCTCAGAGCCTCCACAGTTTGCCTTCCCCCAGCACAGACCAGCTAAAGCTTTGAGCTAGCCATTTTCACAAGACCGCTATCTGTGGGCAGTTGATACCAGAGCGGAGTCCGGGTTGGATGGAAGAGAGCCACTGAGGCAGCTCTGTCCCAGGACTCTGTGTCACTGGCCCCTGCAGTATCCTCCAGCATCCAAGCCTCTGGGTAGGTAGCTCAGGTGATTGAGAAGTCTTCAAGCAGAGTAGTGAGACCAGATGGCCTGGCAGATAGTCCCTAGAGAAGGACTGTTCTTTTCTTGGGGGTGGGGAGTTGAGACAGGGTTACTCTGTAACCTTTGGAGCCTGTCCTTCTCTCGTAGACCAGACTGGTCTTGAACTCACAGAGATCCAGCTGCCTCTCCCTCCTGAGTGCTGGGATTAAAGGTGCGCCCCCACCACTTGCTCTGTTCTGTATCTCTTAACCTAGAGCAGCCCTGAGTCATAGAGCACATCCCCCCCATTGGTCTGTCACCTGGGTTGGTATTTTGTTTTATTGGGATTGGCCTTGAACTCACAGAGATCCTCTGCCTCTGAGAGCTGGGGATAAAGGTGTGGACTCCACACCTGGCTTTCTTATCCTCTGGTTCTCTGAGAAGTTTCACAGTCAGAGTCCATGGGGAGTAGATGCTGAAAATACTCTTTTGTCCAGGAAGTGTGCTTCCCTTTGAGAGGTCAAGTGACCAAGAGAGTCTAGGATGGCCCCTGCCATCCTGTAAGCTAAGACACAGGTCGTACTGAGCTGTCAGGAGCAGGAAGGTTCTGATAGGTTGGACTCTACCTCCTCTCACTTGGTGCTTTTCCCATGCAAGACTCTCAGTTCTTTACAAACCCAGTGGCCAGCCCAGCAGCTCCTGGGGGACCGGAAGCCCAGCTGTGGCTCTTCTGCTATGAGAGTCAGAGCACCCGCCTTGTGGCCAGGATGCAGAACACTGCACTAGGCTGGATCTCTTATGGCTGGCTTCCTCCAACCCCTTGGAGTTCCATCCTCACTTTGCTAGCGCAGGAGGCAACAAGAATCCTCCTAAACTCGAGGGCACAATGACAAGGAAGAAGGAATTGCATGGTTTGAACACTGCCCACGGATCCAAGAGCCAGGAGAAGTGGGGGTGAGTCAGCCTTAGCCAGCTGCTCTGAGCAGCAGGGCAAAGGTATCCAGTGGTCTGAGTGAACAGGACCTCCCAGGTCCAGCTTTAGACTCTAGCCCTGTCCTCCTAACAGCTGCTTGGGCACAGGCTTGGGCTTTTAGCCTGGGGAAGGGTTAATCCGAAGCAACCTGAGAACGCAAAGAGCTGGTTTTGCCTCCTTTGCCACTTGGCATTCCTGCCCATTGGTTGCCACTGCCTGCCCTTCCTCCAAGTATATTTCCAGTCTGGGGATACATGGTGTCTTCTTGCAGTGACCCTGCTTGGCTTCAGACTTCTGTTTTGTTTTTGTGATTTTAAAGATTTACTCATTTCCTCTAGGATAACTGCTTAAATGTTACAGGAAAGCCCAGGAACAAGTGGAAGTTCCTGCACGGGCACAGAAGTGCCCCACTGGGAGGCATGAGTCCTCCTTCACTCAGGACATGATGCTGGCACACTGCTAACATCCTCCTTAGCCTCGATGTTCTCAGCTGCCCTGAGGCCCTTGTGTCAGAGCCCGGAGTGTCCACTGGCTAGAGACTCTCAGAAAGATGCCGTTAGCATATAAAGGTGGTGCCTTTCGCTAGTGTGCTACAGTGCTACAGTGAACATGTTTGGTTAAAGTCCTGTTAGTGGGCAACTGGGCCCTCGGGAGGCACTGGCCAGGCACTCTGCCTCAGGGAACTTTGAACTGTAGCCCCAACACCTTGACTAGGGACTGTGTTTCTGGGCCCAGATCCCCACTGTCTCCATGTTCCCATCCCCAGGGGCAGACTCCTGCATGGCCGGCACTTCACCTACAAGAGTATCACAGGTGACATGGCCATCACATTTGTGTCCACGGGAGTGGAAGGCGCCTTTGCCACTGAGGAACATCCTTACGCAGCTCATGGACCCTGGTTACAAGTGAGAAGCGTCCTTTTATCCTTTTTTTTCCCCCTCGGCTCTTCACCTGCTGCCTACCTTCCCTCCAAAGGCAGCTCCTTATGGCACCCATCCTGGGCTGGGAGCTGCCTCTTAGATTCAGAACCTGAGCTCTGTGTGTGGTTATGGAGAATGGGTGCTGCTGCTGTCTTCACAGCTCCAGGGGCACTTCCTGACCTTCTTCCCATCCTCTGATGCGAGTTTCTCTCCTGGCCATTGGTGCAACCACTGATGACAGTGGAAATCCAGGTGCGAGGAGTAGAAACATCTCCTACCCTGGGAAATCAAGATACAGGACATTGGAGGGTGAACAACGTGTGGATGCCACCCTATATGGACTATATGGTGACTATATGGAAACCTCTCCAGAATGCATAGGAGTGAACTCGGTGGCCACACTAGGCAGGCCACAGTGATCAGAGCTACCCCATGAGCTCCTGATAGAAACTATTGAGCAGAACCTGATGGTGTTCTGTGATTGTGCTCTCCTGATTGGAGCAAGGATCAGAGCTGATGCTGAGTGCAGTGCTTGGGGCTAAGAACCATCAGCCTCTTTCCAGTGCCTACCCTGCCAGGGTTCTAAGGGTCACTGGCCTGATCTGCTATGCTTTTTTTCTTTGCTTTTGGCTGTGTTTTGGAGTAGGAGAAAAGCAATTTACCTCCTTTCACAAGAATATCAAGAAAAGGAAGCAGGGCCAGATGTGTTAATGCACACCTTTAATCCCAGCACTCGGGAGGCAGAGGCAGGGGGATGTCTATGAATTTGAGGCCATCCTGCCCTACAGAGAGAGTTCTAGGACAGCTAGGGCTACAAAGTGAGACCCTATCTAAAAAAAAAAAAAGAAAAAAGAAAGGGATTTGGGGCTGCAAAAAGAGAATCTTACCTCCATTTGAAAGGTAACCAAGCTTTGTTTGTGATGTGTTAGAGAAAGCATGGGGGAATTACAGTAAAAAGGAAGAGAATTACACTGGCTTTGTGGGTGCATTCTGGGGTCTTTATATGGTATGTTTTTGTCTGTGTGTGTCTGCTTGCAGCTGATGCTCTCCTCCCTCACAACAACCTCCTCCCTGCCCCCACCAAAGTCCTAACCCTTAATTAAAACAAACAGCAAACAAAGACTACCAACCACTCTAAGCCCAGAGGTAGGAATGGGAGCTAGTGCTTTAGGGATATTGTGTTCCATAAATTATCTTGCCTTTTTCCACTGTTGTTATTACATTGTTTCATAACAAAATTACTTTGAACCATAAAGTTATAAATACATTTTAAAAGTCCCACTTGGTAACATTAGATTTCTGTCTGTATGGTGTTGGTAGTTACTGTAGCAAAAGCTCCAAAGTATAACATTTGAAATGAGCCCTATACTAGTAGAAACGGCCTCCCATACCTCACATCCCTAGCCATGTCCCAAGCTGCCACCCATCTCTACTGACAACCAGACAGACTAGTATGGAGCTGGGAGATGGGGATCCCCACAGGTGACCCCAGCCATACAGAGTCCACAGATCATCATTCCAGTGGATGATGTCATGCCAGCAGGTCTCAGCAGAAGTGTCCTGGGAGTTCATGAGTGTGTGCGTCTGCAGTTCAAGCACATTTGGAGGGAATTAGGAACTGGAGTCTCCCTAGACTAAAGAAGAGTGTCTGCCCTTTTATTCTGTCATCTCTTGTAGAGCATCTTCCCACCCTGAGGGCTGAGGTGGTCAGCATCTCTGGCTTTCTGCCTGCTTAGGAACCCGGGCCCCCAGAAGATTCAACAGTTATCTGGCACCCCTCAGTCTTCTGGAAGGAAGCTTCCTGCACCCCAAGTTCTTAATCCCCTGGCTACTAGTGTTCCTGCTCTTGGCGACCCCCCCTCCCTGACACATGGCAGCCCCCCAGTGAGTTGGGGCATTGGGCACCTGCTGCTTCCCAGCACTTGGGTCCCCTCCTGTGAGCTGTTGCCCAGGGAACCAGGGAGGGGTGGGAACGAGTTGCTGGCCTCGGCATGTTTCAATCAAGTTGCTGTGCTGGGACTGCTTAATCAAAGGCCTGTTACGGGCTCATTAGTGTGGTCCACCATGGGCCGTCCTCAGGAGAGCTCTGGGAAGGCTGGCTCGGGTCCCACCCTCCAAGCACGCACCCTTGATCACCGAGAGGTTTCTCAGGCTCTTTGCAAGGAGCCCTGGAAAACTCTCCATCTGACCTGCCCCAGCCAGCCGGGTTCTCAGCAGTGAAGCCAACACCCACATCAGCTTCCTCCCTGCCTGAGAGCAGTCAGCATTTTCTGCATCTGTCTGCTAGCCTGACTTTCCCTTTAGGGTCTTGCCTCTGTGGTCATAGACAGCTCCCCAGCTTGTGGGAACTGGGCTTGTCATGACTTGTGGGCTTCTAGGTTGCCTTGCAAGGACCAGCTGTCTCCCTAGGAGTCTGTAGGACCTGAGGTTCCATTCAGTCACAGATCAAGCCCCACTGTGCCAAGAAGAGGCCCAGGCCTGTTCGGAGAGAGAACTCAACACCCACAGACCTGCCCCTGCTCCCTACAGGCCTCTGCCACTCACTCACAGGGTCTGCGGTGTCTCTTTGAGCCTTGTGTGCCCTTGTGTGTTCAGGCCTACTGATGGCAGAGGAGCAGGGGTGACTGAAAGTAGTAGGCATAGGACAGAGAGACCTAAGTTGCTGCTTGACCTGTCCCTGTGGGTCACAGCTGAAGTGGGAGGGGCAGGGAAACTGTCTTGCATCAGCCTTCAGCAGCCTTTAGAGTGCTCACTCCCAGCCTTGGCATCTTGTTCTGGCTGCCAGCCCAGACCTGCTATCTCTGAGGGAAGGGAAGACATTTATTTATTCTCCCTGTGCTGAGGAAGGACGACTGAGAGAAAAAGGGAAAGCCAGAGTGCCAGAGTCCTTTTCCGCCCTAGTGGGATGGCCTCAGACAGGCTTCTGTACCCACCCCATCCCAAGCTGCCACCTGCTCCCCCACTTTCTACCACCTCAGAGAGACCCAGGCCTGGGGAAGTCAGGACCCAAGACCTGAAGAAGAGGCGGGCAAGTGTAGTTGGAAACACACATCAGGAATTGCTGCAGGGGCAGGAATTGGCTTGAGCCTATACTCTTTCCAGAGAAGAGACCTGGCTGCATCCATCCTGCCTTGTGTCACCCTTAAGATCAGAGAACCTGAAAGCCAAGTCCAGAGCTTCATGAGAAGTCTCCAGACCCTGAAGCAGGCCTGCTCACGGGGGACTGTGGCATGCTTCTCCCTTGGCCTGTTGTCCTGAACTGTCAATCTTCTGAGCAGAGCCCTGCCCAGCACTGAGTCTGTTCAGTCATCCGTTCCTAGGCAGGGCAGTCTGAAGGAGGGAAGCTTCAGTCCCAGAGGTCACAGAGAGGGCAGATCACCAAACACGAGATTATTTTTTTTAGGCCCCGCAATGCTTTCTCAGCTGTGTGGTGTCTGACAACTCACCCAGGTGGCGCCCTTAGTCCCAGCCACTCCCCACCGGCCCAATGGGAGATCTCTGGCTTGGGAGAAGACACCTCACAGCTGTTCCCAGTGGGGTCTGATTGGGAAACCACTGCTAAACTCTACCCAACCCAGAAACAGGCTCCCATACTCCTTCAGCCAAGGTCCTGTGTTCTCCTGTTCCCATGCACCCTTTTGGATTCTTTATAGCGGGCAGCCTGGGAGTCCCCAGCTCCTGGCACCCCCTCTCTGATGCCTACCATTTCTCCTGCTGGTGGGCCTGGCTATACCTGCCTCCTTTGGAGACTTTGGCTTGGGCTGTCTCCAGACCTCATTGTCGAGTCCTGGGCCTATTAAGGTTTAGAGGAACAGTAATTCCCTGCTGTGTCAACAGCTGGAGTCCAAGCCTGCTTCTGGCCACCAAAGCCAACTTCTCACCGCCCACCCAGAGCAGGAAATGAGTGGGTGCCCCCCTCCGAAGCACACGCCTCTGCCCCTCCCAGCACGGGAGTGTCCACAGGCTATTAGCTGGCCTTTGTCTGCCTGAGATGGGGGAAAGGGGAACAGCAGACCCGAGCCCTTGTGAGTCCCCACTTCACTGCCATCGAGGGCACCAGAGGTGCTCCTGTCCCTACTAACTGCCATCGAGGGTGCCAGAGCTGCTCTTTGGCAGGCCGGTCTCTAAAGAGCACATTTCCTTCCTGGAGAAAAGGAAAGGGAGGGAAAGAAAGCCAAACTTGCTGGGAAGCAGAACAACGTGTCAACACAAGGAGCAAACAAGGCCCAAGACAAAGTGTGGATTGTCATCGTACCGAAGGGAAGGAATGGCATTGTTAGCCGCTCAGACATCCGTTGACCACAGACCTTGGAATGAGTGTCAGATTTGTAGCCTTCTAACCCCTGCCTGCAGCGCAGCTGGGCCTGCCCAGGGCAGGCACTGACAAAAGATTGTTTTTCAGGTTCCTTTCTGGAACTTGCTGGAACCTGGAGAATTGAGAGGTTGTTGACAGTCCTTTCTCACCACCACCAAGCCAGGCTGTCTGACTGTACCTCTCATGGCCTATGACGTGTGCCCACTGGAGTGATCTACCAGCCGAGCCTAGATTCTAATCCCTCAGTCGGTCAAATAGTGGTGGAGCTGCAGCACTGTTAATTTACCCTGTGCTCACTCCTCCTCTGGGCCTCTTTCCTTGTACTTCCTCCCAGTGTGATCTCTTGGAGTGTTGTGAAAATGCTGGTGCTTTTGCATCCCCTTGGTGTTCTAGGGAGTGCGTAGCCCAGCAGCGCCACATTCTCCAGAGCCCTTCAGGGGAATGTGTCACTCAGATTGGTCCAGGGGCCTTTCCTCTATCATTAGAGCATCCCCTCCTCCAAGGACTATTTGTACACACTCCTCAGTGTTTGTCCCAGTTCTTCGTGCATGGATGACAGAGTGCAGTGATCGCTGTAATGATTTGTCATTATTTCTGCCGCTCTTTTCTGGGCTGCAGGAACTGTTGAAATGTGTGGACTCAGAGTGAGGCGCCCCGTGCTCAGGAGGTGTCGATTGCCTTGGGTGGGTTACGAGGCAGGAGAGTCTCTGTGAGTTTGAGACTAGTCTGGCTTGCACAGGGAGTTCCAGGACAGCTGGGTCTAAATAGAGAGACCCTGTCTCAAAACATTAAAAAAAAAAAAAAAAAAAAAAAGGACGGCTCAGTGGTCCATAGCATGCTTTCCTTTCTAATTAGCCCACACGCTCTGTTATTTGTTGTTAGCAGTGGTGTGTTTGTGATGCTCGGTGTCCAGCCCTGTTGAAATGAGAATACACATACTCCTGGCTGGGCTTGAGGGTGCTGTTCTTCAGGCCATTGGTAGAAGCGACCATTACCTCCCTACCCCATCAGAAGTTGGCCCTGAGTATACATACCTTTAGAGTCGATGCACCTTCCCCAAACAGGAAAAGAGCATGCTCCATCACCCAGGCAGGCACTGCTCTAAAGCCAAGAAGACTGTCTTCTCCCCAGGAGCCAGTCATCTGCACACTGGGAACTAGAGGCATGGCCTGTGCAAGCCATCACAGGATCAGTGAGGAGATGCAGGGCAGCACTTAGTACAGAGCCTGCACACAAGGCAGGTACTGCCCCTGTGATTGGCCATTTCCACTGTCCTGTATTACTGTGGCAGAGGCTGGTCACTCCAGGGAGACGGTGAGCCTCAGGAGCTCCAAGCCCTAGCCCTGCACAGGCTTTTCCCACAGTGGCATCACAACAGTGAGTCTGTTCCCAGGGAGAGCTCCCAGGAGCTGCTCCATCATAGCTGCCTATCTCCAGTATCCTGTTGATAAGATCTGTTAACATTCTCAGCTCCAGCTCTGAAATCTGCAGAGAACAGGGCCTGTTTGTTCAGTCCAAGCTTCTAAGGTTTTACTCCCAAAGGAAATTAAATCAGGTGCCTGGAGCTATGACAGTCTGTCGTGTTTCTTTGCCGAGAATGTCACCCTTAATATCATGTGGATCTCATGTATAATTTTTCCCCCTTTAATTCTTTTAAAACAAGGTGCTTTCTAGCAGAAACCAGCAAATCATCAAAAGTGAAAATGGACAGCTAGGATTTGTCCCCATTTGGGGGTCTTGTCATCCCCTCCCCCAACAGAGTACAAAATTAAGTCCACACACACAGATGGTGCCACACTCTGCTGAAAGCCTCCATAACTCAGCAGTGCAGACCTTTGACAGAGGCACTGGTTTAGGACTGGACTGTTGGTGGCCTCACCTTCCTGTTGTTGAAAAACACCCTTGGGAGTCTCCTTGGGTGGCCACCGTCCTTGGAAGCCCTCCCCCACCCCATTTTACCCTAGTTCCAGACCTGGTTACCATTCTGGAGAAAGACCCTCCCTGTGAATTATTTATGGGTTAGAAATAAACCCAACCCGGCCAGGACTGGAGTCATTGTGATATGACTGGGTTTGAGCTATGCTTGTGCTTGTGCTAGCGTTTCAGAGATGGCAACAAGCCCCGGAAATGCCGAAAATATGAATGTGACTTTATATTACTCAAGCAGACTGGTGATAACCAGTGGAGAAACTCGGCTGGGGGGAGGGGACCCATGGGGTAAGAGGAGGAGGGCTCAGACTCCAGGAAGGAAGGCCAGGTGTGACTGGATGTGGCCAAGGACCAGAAAGTGCCAGACAGGCTGGAAAGAGCCAGCCAACCCCCTCTGGGGAGCTTGGAGGAGGGAAGGAATGAATGCTTTGGATGGACACTCCCCTGGATACTATTTGCTCGTTTCCTCTCTCTCTCTCTCTCTCTCTCTCTCTCTCTCTCTCTCTCTGTGTCCTCTCTCTTCTCTGTCCCTCCGTGTCTCTCCCTCATTATTCTCAGTCAGAGCTGTTTGCCCCTGTTTTGGGAAGCGGGTCTGTTCCTCTAAGAGCTGCTGGTTGGGTGGGAAACAGGCTTGCTTGTCCAAGAGGAATGAATGTGTGAGTCAGTGTCCTCCATCTAAGAATCTAAACAGCAAGTTCCAGGCCAAGACATGCATGACATATGGTCTTACTTTGACCCACAGGGCAGGTGCCTCAGTTTCCCCATCTGGAAGGAGACTGAATGAGATCAGGTGTGAACAATCAGCATAGTGTCTAGTAGGTTAGAGCTTTTCTTTCTCACTTGCCACCACCACGCCATTAGCTTCCTTGTCACTTCACCTCATGTCACAAAACAGAAACCCCTGCCCTTACAAACTGATCAAGTCCCAAGGGAAACTTCATGGGTATTTTCCCAACCTTCTGAAAGGGAGGGTTTCTCTGAAAGGAGCCTTTCAGTTGGCTTTGCATCCTTTTACTCTTCTTCCTCTGTGCACTGCACAGCGTCCGCCAGAGAAGTGGAGAGCTCCTATAGAGTAGGGTAGGGAGGATGGAGTAGAAAGGTCCAGGTCTGCAAGGAGAGCATGGATGAGCTCAGCCTGGACCAGCAGATCTGTCTGAGAGAGCCATCAGTTGAGAAGGTTTGACGGAGCTCTGAGTTGCTGTGGATGTTCCCATTAGCTGAGAAAACTTGCGTAGGACATAGTGGTTATTCCTGCAAAGAGTGGTGCTAGATGGTCTTGGTCATCAAACCTTGTGGTACCAGGCATCAGAAAAAGCAGTAGAGTGGGGAAGATGGAGACACTCAGAGAGGAGGTGTCTCAGAAGTCAACATAGCTGCTGACTGGGGCCGCAGGGACATCCTGAGACGTGACCCTGTGGCTGGAAAGGGAAATTCTAAGTCCCAGCCCCCTCTGTGAAGGGGCAGGCAGCTTATTCTGCAGCTCAGATTTTTTTTTCTTTGTTTTTACCTGCTATCCCCATCCCCCAGTGGTAGGGATTGAACCCAGGCTTATGCTCCAATACTAGGGTGCATCTGAATCCCAGACAGGGCTTGTATTCCCAAGTCAAACAGATTCCTTTTGTCCTACATGGTTGGGAGAAGTGGGTGGGAACTCTTGAAGCCTGATCAGGCAAGGACCTTGGCAGTGGCTCTCCTATGGCCTTGGGCTTTCTTGTCCCGCTCCTTTGCCCTGCAACATCCAGAAAACCAACCACACAGCCCAAAGAAGTGGGTGTCTGCTGCCTTCCAGTTCCCTTCTCTCCTGCCACACCCCACCTCGCCGCCCTTCTCTAGACTATGGCACAAGCAGGTGGGGGTGGGGGGAAGGCATTGAGAGCGCGCAATTTTTTTTTTCCAGAGGCCTGAAGTACTTCCCTCTGTCCCTAGCACCAATCAGTGGGCCATCCCTCCTCCATAGCGAATAGAAACTTCCCGAACTTGGCAGTTGGCAAAAGGGCTGTATATAGTTTTTTGGGTTTTTTGTTTTTGTTTTTTCAAATAAAAACCTGCCTTTTGCTTTCTTTCCCAGATTCTGTTGACGGAAGAATTTGTAGAGAAAATGTTGGAGGACTTGGAAGATCTGACTTCTCCGGAGGAAGTAAGCCTGTTTGGTTTCTCACTCAGAGAGGGGTCCTGGGCTTGAGAACATGGACCTGTGTGCGTGTGTGTGCACCTGTGTGCGCGCGCGTGTGCACATGCTCACACTTCAATGGGCTGTTTTCTGAAGTACAGGGATAATGTAGAGAGGACTCTGAGAATGTTCAATGACTTTATTTTTCTTCCGTTTCCATGAACCACCTCTGCCCCACCCCCACCCTTGTGAGGACACCCAGCAAACTGTCTGAATTGCCAGCTCTTGAGAACCTCATTGAAGAAGCAGCCAGGGCCTTCAGGCTAGAGTTCTCCCCAGCCCCTGCTGTTCCCTGGCAGGTTCTGAACAGAAAGCCCATGTCTGCTGCCAGAGAACATTCCACTGGGGAGTTCTAGTGGGCAGAAGGGGACTCCTGCTCTTGCCTTGGGCCACCCAAGAGCCACACTCCCTTCCTTCTCCAGCTATAGCTTGCCTCTCTCAGCCTCTTCTTGGCTAGCTCAAAGCCTGAGGAACTGGCAGGCCAGGTGGGTTATGCCTCCCTTGGCTTCTTCTCTGGGGTACAGGAATGGAGTCCATAATCCCTTCTGTTTTTCTTCCTTGTTCCTGGCCTCCTCATTTGCAGGGACTTACCTCATCCTGGAAAGTCCCTTCTCCTCCTGCTGCCTCCTACTAAGCAGCACCCAGGCAGCAGACAGGCAAGCCTTGCTGGCCCTAGTGCTCCATGGGGTAGTGAAACATTAGCAAGCTTCCCAGGCCCCTGGAGGACCTTCTTGCCCTCCCCGAGCTGCCTGTGGCAGAGCCTGACCCTTCCCTCCCTTTGTCCTAATGTGCTAGCTCCCTTACTTCCCAGAGGCCAGGCAGGAGCACCCAGGGGTCGGCTTTCCCAGAAACTCACGATAAATAGAAACTCCTCAGAGTTGGTCACCCCAATAGAGCCATGTCTTCCCTGTCCCCACTCCAGGGATCCAGCTTGATCGATTAATTCATTTATGTATTCCAAGGTTATCTAGCACCCAATCCATGCCAGCCAGTCACCCCTACAAGTTGCTGCCTCAGAGGCCTCGGTCCCCCGTTCAGTCAGGCCAAAGCCCAAAAGAGCTTCCGGAGGTCTTGTCGCACTGCAATGGCATTATGCCAAGCTGCTGCTCTGAGCTTGGGTGCTGAGTGGGCGGGAGGGGACAGTCCAGGCAAGAGAGACAGGAGCCAAGGGGAGCTTCAGAAAGTAGGTCACTAAAAATGACTTCCCTTTCTGCTCTTCTATCCAGAGGCTATCCCCACACCCTGCCCAGTCTCCATTCTGTCCTGGGTCTTCAGTCCCCCATGAGAGGGAGGGCAGAGGGAGCCGACCAGGAAGAGTTAGTTTGTCCACCCCCAGCCCCGCTCCAGGCAAGCTGGGTCATGATTCTGCCCTCCTCTTGCTGGCCCTGACGTGCAGCCCAGCCCAGCCCCAAGACAGTGGGGGCTCCGAGAGCTCCTGTGCTAACCCCAAGTCAGAGAGAATTTATTGAGCACCAGCTGTGTGCTAAGCTACATGAAAGTTTTAGAACCCAGAGGAATAAGAAGTCAGCTCCTCCCTTTTCACAAACAGAAGGCCCAGGTACGTGAGAGAAATGAAACAGTCAGGCTGCCATTGATTTCGGATGTGGAAGACCTTGGCTCTCATCTGGGATCACTCTGAGCATCGAACTCTGGGAAGCAGGGTGAAGAGGCAGTAGGTAGTGAAGGATTTCTCCTTCTGAGAAAGTACTTCCTAGGACTTGCTATATCCCAGCAGGGTCACGTGGGGGTGGGAGGGGGGGCTGAGTTACAGCCTCCTTCTCTGTTGACCCTTTGACCCAGCTCTGGAGGACAGGTTCTAGATTCCTTCCCACAATAGCCTCAGAAAGAGAGCCCAGGACAATGAGAGTCTACTCCCTGCTGGGTCCCCTATCCTCCAGCCCCAGGGCCTCAGGGAGCAGATTCCTCACATGCTTGTGGCTGGAGGCAGAACCTAGGAAAAGAGCCCAGGGAGGTCTACACAGTCAAAGAACTAGGAAGACACACCCTCTCCAGTCTGTAGCGCCCTGGCTGTGTGGGAGGACAGGAGCACCTGGACCAGCCACATGCACTCGTGTTCCTATATACACACACACACACACACAACACACGCATGCACACATGCATGCACACCCTGAGCTAGCATTTGAGAGATCTTCAATAGCCTGTCTTGTCCCCAGCATCCTAGGGACAGGTCTGGGCCAGTTTTCTGCCTCTCTCTAGGTACTGTCTTAGAAGGGAATGGAGTTTGCTAACCAGAACATTTGGGCTCTGTGCTTGCCCCCTCTGCAGTTTAAACTTCCAAAAGAGTACAGCTGGCCTGAAAAGAAGCTCAAAGTCTCCATCCTCCCCGACGTGGTGTTCGACAGCCCGCTGCACTAGCCTGGGCTAGGCCCCACGGGGGCCAACCCAGTGACTTCAGTGTGACCGCAGTGTAAAGGAGACTCCCGTGAATAAAAGGACAAGGGTGAGGATGACTGCCAAGTGCTGCACCCACCACAGGCCCCACCTCACCTCCAGGTCAGGGGCCTCACTCCCAGCTGCCAAGCCCATGTGACCAGACCCCTGTCCTGCATGCCAGTGAGTGAGGCTGCAGCTGTAGAGGTCCCCACCCACCTGCTGCTGCCACAGGTTTGACTGATGTGCTGCGGGGAAGGACATCCTTGTCACACAGCCAGGTGTGCAGAGCACACATGTGGACGCACTGCCCAGTTCTACCCCAGCGAGCCTTCGCGGTCAGGCTGCTCCAGCCTGTGGAACGATTGCTCCTTCAAGATTGTTTTTGCCTTCCTTAGTCTGTTGTGGAAACCGGATGGTATTTTTATTGCTCAGCAGAGATGGCCCAGAAGCCATGTACATAGAGGTTTTTAAACAGGACTTCATTCCTAGATGAACTTCATCATTCTCTTAGACAGGGGTCTGGGGGCTCTGCCTCCCCCACACCATCTGCCCAAGAAGGTGCCTGGTGCTGCCTGTCAGCTCTGAGCCCTGGAGGAACCTGGGATAGGGAACAGCTGACACAGTCTCTGCACAGCCCCGCCTGGGGCCAGATATGCCATGGCCTAGAAGGGGTGCCACTGCCTTCCAAATGAACTAGGCTTCTACAAGGCTGTGGGGACTTTAGGGACTCAAGGACATGGAGTGATGGTCCTAGCTATGTCTTCCAGTCCTTTTGTACCCAGCCAGGCCCGCCAAGGAGAGGGTAGAGCCCATTGCCCCTCGTCCTACTCCTCAGGACCTCCAGCTCTTTGAGTCCCCTGTCACCTGCATTCCCAGCCCCCTGGGCTGTGGGACTCTAGCTTATTAAAAACTGAAGAATCAGCCTCTCAAGGTCCCTTTGCTGTCATTTTGCTGGCTGCTCTCTGTGGCCCCATCCTTCCCACATCCCTTCCTTACTTCTCATCTCATTGTTGCCTTTTCCTATAGCCTGGCCCCTTGTATGGGGATCATTCTCTCACCCCAGAACTGTAGATCTCTACACCTCCCAAGAGCCAGCCTGTCTCTGGCCACGTTGAAACAGGGTTTCTCTGTGTAACAGCCCCTGTCTGTGCTGGAACTCACTCTGTAGACCAGGCTGGCCACTCAGCTTCTTCATTCTTTAAGTTCTGATCTCTCCAAAGGAAAGACATTTTTTTTCTGTCAGGGATCTTGCAAGAGTTCTACCACTCTGCTTCCACCACCTCTAATGGGTACCGCCAGGGTACCCCAGGAGGCCCAGAGGTCAGCAGCCAAAGAGTTGCTCCCAGGGGCTGGAGGGAGCAGGAATTACCCTTTCAAGGAAGGCCCCTTCTACATAGCCCAAATCTAAGCAGCTCCAAGGCCAGCACTTGGGGGCAGACCCATCTGGAGCCACTGAGAGACTGGCTTCAGGCCCCCACCAGCTAGGATTCAAGCCTCTCTGGAGTAGACACCATGCTGCCCTGGGACTTTTCCTTTTCTAATTTTTTTGGTTTTTCGAGACAGGGTTTCTCTGTAGCTTTTGGAGCCTGTCCTGGAACTGAACTAGCTCTTGTAGACCAGGCTGGCCCCGAACTCACAGAGATCCTCCTGCCTCTGCCTCCCGAGTGCTGGGATTAAAGGTGTGCTCCACCACCGCCCAGTGGGACTTTTCCACAAGGACACTTCCAACCTTAACTTTTTAAAGCTCTTGTCTTCTGAAAGTTTATGGGCCAAGAGATGCTCTCAGTTTGCCTCTATCCCTTGCTGTCTTACCCAGTGTGGTAAAGGTTCCCTTCCCCCATTCTCCCGGAGACCTACCTAAGGACCCACTGCTGCATTCTGCCCTCCCTTAGCCTGGCTTGGGGGCGAGAATGCAAGCTATGTGAGACTCCTGGTCAACTGCTTGCCCTAGGCCTGCAAGGTCTTTGCCACCACCTGCTTGGTGGCCCCATTCTTAAGGAACAGGGAATGGTAGGTAAGCTCCAAATGAGATGTCTCCAGGGCCTGAGGTCTCTCCTGCCCCCATCCTGTCAGGAACCTCAGGAATGTCTACAATCCTGCTGGGGCCAGGTCTCCCTCGCTAAGCTCCCTTAGTTTAGCGCAGCAGGCTCTCAGCCTGGGGTGACCAGGCCTCCTTTCCCTTGGGCTCCAGTTTCTTCCAGAGGGATCTCAGGGAACAGGTTTGCCATTAGGCTGCTGCTTGGGAAGGAGAGACCCTAACACGGATGGAGCAAGACTCATCATGATGGGGGCCCTTTCCTTCCCTCTCTATAGCCTAATGGGGCTGTTAACCCATCCTGAAGAGGGGTTCGGGAATCTGTCCCATCATGTCCTCCCTCTTCTGCAGACTTCCTCCAGGCTGTCCCCATCCTTTGACCTTCTAGGTCCTCAGGACCAGAGCTTCTGAAAGGAAGGACCTTTGCCCTCCTATTAATTAACTAATACTTCCCCAGGCCCGTGTAGGCCACCGAGGGTGGCGATGCCGGCTGCCATGCTGGGGAACAATGTTTTCCTCTTGCAAGTGTGACAGCTGCAACAGGGCTTGTGGAGGCCTTGGGGAGCCTTTAAGGACCAGGACATCTGCAGTCCAGACCCTGGGTCCTGGGACTGAGTTTTGAGATTGAGTCCAGAGCAGGGAGAGAGCCTGAAGTTTGTGCCCCTATGGGGCGGACCAGCCCATTACTCCCTGAACTGTATTTTTTTAACTTGGTCTTCCCTCTCTGGCTTCCATGATCTCGGTGCCAGGTGAGGTGTCTGGGTCCCTGTTACAAGTCAGGAGCCCTGTAAGGAGACCCCTTCTTTTGTACAAAGATCCTAAATGTTGCAATGAGCAGACTTTTGTACATTTTTATATTAGTTTTTAATGTCAGAGGCGACTCGGCTCCTGGGGCTACAGCTGGCTCAGGACTTTTGTAAGAATTTTTGAGTGACTCACTTAGATTTTGTTCCCACTTATCCCTCTTCCTCTGTGTAATCTAAGTGCATTAAACATATCTGCAGAAGCATCTGGTCTGTGTGTGTGCTTCTTTCTGACATGCTAGGGTGTGTGTGTGTGTGTGAGAGAGAGAGAGAGAGGAGAGAGGGGTGTGACACCAGGGTTTGAACTCATGGTCTTGCTGCGTGCCAGGCAAATGCTCTACCCTGAGTTGTGTCCCTAGGCCTTATTTGCTTCTTTCTTGATGCCTGAAGTAAAGGAGCCAGAAGACTGGCACCCTGGCACCACTGAGAAGTGGAATGAGCCAGAAGTGCAAGGTGCGTTCAGCAGGCGCTTTACCACTAAGGTCAACACACACAGCCCTCCTTTGTAGGTCAGGAGGGCTGGGTCCAGAATACATTTATGTTTATTATATTTGTGTGTGTGTGTGTGCACATTCCATAGCACATGTAGAGACAGAGGACAGCTTGCGGGAGTGATCTCCTCCTGCCATGGACCTGAAGTCATCAGGCTTTTGTGAGAAGTGTCTTTACCCACTGAGCCTTCTTGACAGCCTGTATTTTTGTTGTTGCAGTTGCTGCTGCTGCTGTTTGAAAGAGGGTCTCATTGTTTAGCCTCCCAGGTGCTGAAAACACAGGGTGGTGCAAGACAGACCTCTAGCCTTCATTCTGTTCTTCCCACTCTTATCAAGAACATTTTTCCCTCGGTTCCAGAGGGATCCAAAGCTGAGAAAAGTGGGCCTTCCTTACCTCCAGTTCTGGGAGTCTTCTCTGGAACAGCTAGCCACTCTACCAGGCATCTAAATTCAGCCTCCTCTTCAGTGGCCTGGGGCTACACTCAGATCTGGAAAATCTCAGAACCAGATGACATAGGCCAGCTCACCCTTCTAGCAACACCCAAGCTAGGTAAAGAGGCAGGGTGATATGCCATCCTCCCCCGGGCTCCTGATGGCATGTGCCCTTTGAGGACCCGATATCAATAGAGTCCAGTGCTGGGGTGGGGGAGAAAACAGTGTAGGCCTAGCAGCATCAGCATCCACACAGGATTCTGAAAACCCTTGGAACCATCTGAGGCTTTCCACATTCTTTCCCTTCCTGCTAGGCCTAGTTTTCTGCCCCAGCATGTGGCAGGGCCTTTCTCTTGATCTTCAGAATGGGCTGGTAGCACTCGGGTCTCCGCCAGAACTAGTGACAGGTCATGAGACATCACAAGGCAGAGGGATGTCTGGAGACCTTACCAACAAGGAAGTCAGTGTATATCTTGCCCCAGTGACCTCTTCTTGAACTCTGGAAATGGCTGGCTCCCTAGGGGTAGAGTGGGTCATGCCTGGATCCTTGGTCCCTCTGGTGCGCAGGACAAGAGAATAAGTGGGGGTGTCTGAGGCCAGATCGACAGGCCAGGGTGCCAGGCCATGCCTTTCCCCCTTAACTCACTTCCTTACCTAACTGACCTAGAAAGCCCCGGAAGTCCTGCCCCAACTAGCACAGAGCGGGGGGTCCTGTGCCTGTGTCTGGGAGACAGTAGCAGGCCATGGGTGTCTGGAAAGACAAGAACTTTTTAGAGACCTGGTCTCTAGAGCAGAAGCCTCATTCTTGAAGACCTAGGAGAGAGAGCTGCAGTGTCCTCCTTGATGGCTCTTCTAGAAGACCTGGGCATTGCTGTGGGCATCTATTCTGCCTCCTCTGGGTCCTTCAGTGGGGGCTGCTGCTCCAGCACCATGGGGCTGAGGAGCCCAAGAAATTTGCCAAACTGGCCCAACCACTTGGGCAATGCAAGCTGGAAGTGATTGCCAGCCTGCCAGGCATTGAGGCAGCTGCAGGTACTGAGAGGGAGGAGGGAGATGGGGGTGGGGTAAGGGTGCGATTTGCTGAACAGAATGAAGGATAGGTTCCCAGCCTACAGAGGCAGGTCAGGATGTGGTGGTGGGGCAGCCCTTCTTGGGGGACCTGAGCCAGTCCCCTGCTGACTCAGGAAATCTAGTGAGATATTTCTGCACTTGCTGCCAAGCCTGCTGACCTGAATTAGAGTACCCCAAATCCACATGGTAGGCAATAACTGACACCCTCATAGTCTTCTAACTCCACATGGGCATTGTGGCATGTGTGCATGGGCACATAAATATTAAGGGTTTTTTTTTTTTTTTTTTTTTTGGAAGAGAGGCTGTTTTGAGACAGTTTCTCCATATAGCTTTGACATGCCTAGAACCCCCACTGTAGGTCAAGTTGGTCTCAAACTAAGAGATCCACCTGCCTCAGCTTCCTGAGTTCTGGACTTAATGCACCACCATGCCCAGCACACACACACAAATATTTAACCGATGCTATTTTCTCATGTCTGAGAGAGTTAAGGGCAGACAGAATGGGGAAGGGCCCTGCTCGCTAGTGGGTATTCCTAGAGTGATGATTTTTAAGCACCACGGGGTGACGGGAACTTTGAGGGCTTGTCGTTAGGGTGGTAGTATTTTTGAAGCCGGGGGTCGAGGACAGTCCCTTTGTCTCTGTGGTTTTGCCCTCCGCCACACACACTCACACCCACCTCAGTCTTGTGAGAAGTCTCAGGGCATGGAGTACAAGAACTCACAGGTGGCGGCCTGTAGACAGCAAGGCGGCTGGCCATTATCGAGGTTCTGCCATAACATTGTGTGAGCAGTAAGAACTGGAAATCAGGCTGAGGAGATGGCTTAGTAAGTAGGTAAGAGCAATTGCTGTGAAAGCATGAGGACCAGAGTTCAAGTCCCCAGCATCCATGTAAACATCAGCCATGTGTGCCTCTAACCTGAGCATTGGGGAACAGAAACAGCCGGATCCAGAACCCTGACAGCCAGCGTCAAGTTCAGTGAGAGAGACTCTGTCTCAAATGAAAGATGACTTTGGACGTGGCAGCACACACCTTTAATCCCAGCACTCAAGAGAGACAGAGGCAGGCAGATCTCTGAGTTTGAGGCCAGGATACACAGAGAAACTCTCTCTTGAGAAAAATAAAATAAAACTAAAAAAAGGCGAGTGATAGACATTGGATGTCTTCCTCCAGCCCCTGCACAAAGTAGTCACTGGGTTGGTGTGGTTGTTTTTCAGACTGGCTCAGTAGGTAAAGGTTTTCTCACCGAGGCTGGAAACCTGAGTTTGATTGCTGGGACACACGAGGTGGAAGAAGAGAACCAACCCCTGCCAGCTGCCCTCTGGCCTCCACATGCACGTGTGGTATGCATACACATGTGCGAGCGGGAGTCAAACACATAAAATAAATGGATATTTAAACATTTTTTACCTTTATATGTTAAATTGTGTGTACTTTTGGGGTGTGCATGTTTGTGTCTGTGTGTGTGCGCAAGTGCCTGAGGAAATGAGAGGTGCCTGATCCGCCTGGGGCTGGAGTTATGAGCCACCTGACATGGCTTCTGGGAACAGAATTTACGGCCTCTGTAAGTGCTCTTAATTGATGATCCATCTCTCTACCCACAAGAATTTTTTTTTTTTAAACTGGAAAGTATCAGTGGTTCTTCTAGCAAAAGTATGCCAAGAACTTTTCATGCCATGGCGTGGACCCAGGCTGGATGTGGGGCCAGGTTGACGGGCACAGACCCTTGCAAGGAAGAGCGAAGGAAGAGAAAAGCCGTCAGTGACGCTCTGCTCTGTCCTACCCTAGTTCCACCCTTCACACTGAGACTAGATGCGTCCACTAACTAGCCTGTGCCTGCAATCGATACTTATAAAAACTTTTGCTAAGATTATGAGCAGAATACCTGAACTTGTCTGGTCGCATTTACCATGCTGTTTGGTTGGTTGGTTGGTTTTTCAAGACAGGGCTTTTCTGTGTAGTCTTTGCTGTCCTGGAATTAACTTTGTAAACCAGGCTGGCCTCGAACTCAGAGATCTGCCTGCCTCTGTTTCCCCAGTGCTGGGATTAAAGGCGAGGGCCGCCATACCTGGCCTGCCTTTGCCATCCTTTAAAAGAATCCAGTCCAGATAATTATATTTGACTTATTTATTTTGATGTGTATAGGCCCTTTGCATGTGTTTCTGTATGTGCACCACATATGTGCCTGGTGCTCACAGAGGTCAGAAAAGCACATCAGATTTCCTAGAACTAGAGTTATAGATGATTATGAGTCATCCTGTGGGTGCTGGGAACTGAACCCAGGGCTTCCACAAGAGCAGCAGGTGTTCTTAACTGCTGAGTCATCTCTTAAACCCATACACACACATACATATATATGTAAATTATATATATTTTATAGATTATATATATTGTTTGTTTGGCAAAACAGTTTCTCTGCATATCTCTGGCTGTCCTAGAACTCACTCTATAGACCAGGTTGGCACTGAACTCAGAGCTCTGCCTGCCTCTGCCTCCCAAGTGCTGGGATTAAAGGCGTGAGCCACCACCGCCCGGCGCTCCCAATAATTTTTAAAGATAGAATATATAGGCTGGGTGTCTTGCTACCTGCCACCAATCCCATCACTTGGAGGGTGAAAGGAGAAGGGTTTAGAGTCTGAGGCCAGCCTGGGCTACATGAGGCCCTGTCTCAAACAAGCAAGCAAGCAAATGTTGGTGGAGATAGCTGCAGTGAAGAAATGGGAGAGTGTGCGGGGTGCTTTTTATATAGGTCAGGGAAAGCCCGAGGCATAGGTGTATCTGAATGAAGGAAGACGTGAGCTGCGGAGGCCTCTGGGGGAAGAATGGGTCAGGCAAGGGAAGAGCTACTGCAAAGCCTAGACAAGCATCTTTGAGGAACCACAGGAAGCCAGTGGCTAGAGCTGAATGAGGTGTTTGGCCAAACTGGCCAGGTTATTTGGGGTCTTCTAATACCCTGGCTTTCTTTTCTTCTTCTTTTTTTTTTATTTGTTTTTGGGGTTTTCTTTTGGGGGGGGTTGTTTGTTTGTTTTTCGAGATATGCTTTCTCTATATAGCTTGGAGCCTATTCTGGAACTTGCTCTGTAGACCAGGCTGGCCTCACTCAGAGATCTGCCTGCCTCTGCTTCCCAAATTCTGGGGTTAAAGTTGTGTGTCACCACTGCCCACCCAGCTCATTTTATTTTGTTTTTTATAACTTATTTATTTTTATTTTAT